CTATCAGCCGCAGGGCAGGCTCATCTGCCAGTAGGAGGGTGAGAGAGACACCAGGCATCTCCAGGGCAGACATGAAGGTGCCCACAAGCGCACGGGCAATGTTTACCCCGCGGCCCTCTGCAATGTCAACGTGGAGGCCCATGAGTGGGATGGCACCGGGGATGCTTGAGGAAGCTGGGTGGGGAGCTGGCCCAAATCCTTCAGCTTGTCCTTCAGTGACACCCTGATGGCCTAACTTCCTGGCTGTGCCCCTCGGGGGCCAGTTCAGGGCCGTGCATCCCATCCACTCTGCAGCACTGCAACTGTCACTCCAGACAGACAGGGCTGAGCCTGAGGCCCCTGTGATGAGTGGCAGGGCACGTCCTGGCGGAGGCTGTGACACTCGGGCCCTGTCCAGGCTACCCAGAGACCCTCCCTCCTGTCTTCTGCCCAGCTTCCCACGCTGGGGTGCTAGTGTGGCTCACCCAGACAGCGGACGGCAGCGTCAGCCACGATGCCCAGCTCCAGGAATGACAGGCCGCCCAGGTTGTTGACCATCAGTACCACTGAGGAGCCTGCAGGCCAGTGTGACAGGCAGTGAGACACCAAGGGGGGGGTGGGGTGGGGCTGGGACAGGAGGCCACGTACCTGGCTGCACGGGCACGCGGGACACATTGGAGGCATCCGTCATGTGGTCGATCATGAGTGCGACAATCTCATCAGCAGTCGCCATCTGTCATGGGGCCAGCGGTGAGGCTTCTCTGTGGGCTTCAGCCTCGGGCTGGCGGGGGACAGGCATACTTACCTGGATGCGGCGCACACCTGCTTCCCCGTGGATCCCTGCGGAGAGAGGTGGTCACAGTGACCTGACAGGCCTGGAACAAGCCTGTCCTGTCTCATCAAAGACCGAGTGCACGAGCCAGACCTGGCACCAGGGCAGGGCTGGTGGACAGGACTGCCGGGGGGGGGTGGGGACAGCCAGTGTCCTAGTGCTGTGAGGCCTGGGACATGGATGCATTGGGTTCAGACTCACGGGAGGAAGGGGACAGCACCGTGGCCGTGGCCAGGTGGCCCTGAATGCCCTGGAGAGGATGCTATACCTGAGCATGGGACCATCTGGGCAGGCCTGGCCTTGAGCGCCCGCCACCTGTCACTACTGAGACTAGCAGTGCGCAGCTGCAGGAGGCTGCAGGACCCGAGATGGCTGTAGGCCTGGGGACACTGGCTGGGCTTACCTAGGCCCAGCTCCACCTCGCTGGCGGCGAGCTCGAAGGTGGGTCTGGAGCCGGGGACACTGCAAGAGGACAGGCTCACACCCAGTGTACCTAGGATGGTGAGGTGCAAGCGCCGGGGTCAGGACAGGCAGTAGCCTGAGCGCCGCCTTTGTCTCCGAGAGGGACGAAGGAACCCAGCTGTGTTCCTGGGGAGTCCTTACCCCCACCTACCTGCCCACAGGAGCCCGCTTGGGCCTGGCACTCACCCATGGTCTTGGCAAACTCGCTCACCAGCTCGGTTATCTCCTCCAGCCCCATGCCCGCCTCAGCCAGTGCCCCTGCCATCTGCAGCCAGACACGCGGGTGGAAGGAAACCCCAACCCCGCGGGGTCAGAGGGGCTGCAAGGAGCCTGCAAGAGGGAATCCTGGGGTCTCCCACCCCATCTGGCCCACAGCATGTGGGCACAAGATCTTCCCCTTGCTTACAATGTGCCTTCCTGCATCTTTCACAGTTCTGGGTGGTTTGAGCCACCAGACTTTACAGACCAGAAATGGGCTCCAGGTGCGAGGGGGACCCACATCACACAGCCAGCGGGTGACTCCTGGAGCCACCTACTGTGGCTCAGTTAGCTCACCCCCAACCTGGCTGTCATAAGCATCCCGGCTGGGACGGATGAGCCCAGCCAAGGGGGTCATGTTAACGCCAAGGCAGGGTGGCTGCGTGGGAGTGGTCTGGGGCTTCTGGGCCAGCCACCCTGTGCAGGCCGCATGGCACATCACCTTGTGGATCAGCACAGTGCCGCAGAGACCCCGTCGGCCAGCCTTCTTCAGCACAGTGAAAGCACTGTCATCCCCGATGACCACCATCTCCACGGGGATGCCCTCGGCACAGGCCTGCTCGCGGGCCAGGCCGAAGTTGAGCCGGTCTCCAGTGTAGTTTTTCACAATGAGGAGGGTCCCCACTGCCAGAGTGGCCGGAGAGGTCAGGACCTGCCCTCTGTGCCCCTTGCGCCCACCGGGGAGCCCCATGCCAGCTGACCTGTGCCTGCCTGGGCCACCGCCCTGATGGCCGCCAGGATGCTGCCCACAGCCGGGGAGGTGAACACAGCTCCCGCGATGACACCCGTCAGCATTCCCTTCCCGATGAACCCTACAGATGTGGGAGCGAGTGTGGGTGCCCTGTGACCCAGGGGTCTGCACTCACAGGTGTCTTCTTGGCTGTAGGGTCATGGTGGATGTGTGCCAGGCAAGTGCCTGGCATCCAGTGGGCTCTTGCTGAAGGGAGACGGGACAGCCACAGACGATTCCAGGGGCTCTCAGAACCTAGTGCTGGCCTAAGACAGCCCAGGGACCCCGTGTGGGCTTAAGAACCCCGCTTTGGCAAGAGGCAAGAGGGCGGGAGGCTGGATATCACCCACCCTCAGGACGGAAGACTGCAAGCCTGAGGGCGGACTCACTCTAAGGGCAGAAGGCCAGCCCCAGGGGCGCCACGCCCAGGAGGCCTGCTCTCCCGCTGCTCACCTGCGTGGGCCGGCTCATGGCCGGAGCCTCCCCCGGACAGCAGGGCTACCCGGCCTCTGAGGCTGTCCAGGTCAGAGCGCAGCGCCACCCGGTGGCCCTGCAGCAGCTGCAGGCCAGGGTTGCAGGCCACCAGGCCGGCCAGGGCGTCGTCAGCACAGCCCACCACTGAGTTCACTAGTTTCTTGGAAGTCTGCAGGAGAGGAGTGAAGATTCAGTGTGGGCGCAATGGGAAGGGACCTCGACCTGCCAGCCACACCGCTGTGCTCAAGACCCCTCTCCATGCTGCACAGGGGCTCCAGGGACATAGCAGCACCCTGATTTGAGCCCCGATTCAGCAGGAAGTCTGTGACTTTTCTCCTCTTCCCCCTCCCCTTTCTGTTCCCCCTCCTCCCCCTCCCCCTCTTCCTCTTCTCCTCCTTCTTTTGAGACAGCATCTTTCCATGTAGTCCAGCCTGGCCTTGAACTCACTGTGGATGCCAGGCTATCCCTGAACTCATAGCGATCTTCCTGCCTCAGTCTCCTGGGTGTTAGGTTAATACACATGTACCACCATGTTGGGACCAGCTGAGGCTGGAAAGTGGCCATGTGTGGGGACAAGACAAGGCCATGGTGCCTGGCAGTCAAGCTACCTCAGTCTTAAAAATGCATCCTGCCTGGACGACGTCAGTCCCCAGCCACTGGGCAACCCTGTGCTCTGATGCCAACTTTGCCACAGCATACAGGTCCTGCTGCTGAGGTCTCTGCCCAGCAGGCAAACAGGCTCCACCTGACCCAGCGCTTGTCCGCTGTCCGTCTTTCCTCCTCCCACCACTGCTCCCGCAGGATATGCTGAGAGGCCAACGAGTCGCTACATTTGGCCCGCAGCAGGGACCGCCAGTCAGAGAAGAATGGACGTCCCAAGTGCACCCGACAGGAGGGAGGCGAGCTGTGGGAGCCAGCACTCGGCGCAGGCGTGCAAGCCCGGGCGTGGGGGCTCCTGGGGATGGGGCACGTTCCCGGGGGCTAGAGAGAGGGAGCTTCAAGAGAGACACAGACTTAAGAAAAGCCAAAAGGGAACTAGTAGTTAAAATAAGACAGTCTCAGGGCCGGGGAGATGGCTCAGTAGAATAAGCACTT